CTGTGTCTTTCCTCATAGGGAAAGCCCCATGGGGTTCTCACAGTGAGTGCCTTTCACTCCTCCCACGTCCACGCCGGCCCCAGGCCAGGCAGAGCTCGCATTTGTGGCTGAGAGGTGAAGGGACCTGCTGGCCTCTCTGCTCAGAGAAAACATCTTCCAGCTCCAATCCCGTCCACGGAAGGTACAAGAATTCTAGGTGCCAAACCAACCATCATGGACTGGGTGTGTGGCACCTGCCTTGAATCCAGGCTACCTGGGAGGTACGGGCAGAAAGATCTCACATTTGAGGTTCGTAGACTCTCAAGTTCAAAGGCAGGCAGGGCAAAGTTAATGAGCTCCTATCTCCAAAGCAAAATTACAAAACAAAAGCCTGCAGGAGTGTGTAGCATATGAGTGAGGCCCTGGGTTCAACACACACACACACACACACACACACACACACACACACACACACACCACACACAATCCAGGGAAATACAAAGGACCCACCCTTCAGGCCAACGTTCTCAGGGCTGTTCTGGAGAGTCCAGGACCAGGATTGTCTCTCAAAGCCTCAGGCGCTGCCATAGGTTCCAGAACTCTCTTCTCCCAGTGCCAAGAGGTCGTAGAAACACTCTTCCCCACTGGCTCAGGTGGAGGAACAAGGCCGACATGCAAAAGAGGCAGAACCCCCTAGTGGTTCTACGAGGAATATTACACTAGACCGAGTTATAATCCAGCCTAGACGCAATTAAAATTATTCTCCTGGGGCTGGGAAGGTGGCTCAGTGGTAGAGCACTTGCCTTGCATGCCTGAGGCCCTGGGTTCGATTCCTCAGCACCACATAAGCAGAAAAAGCTGGAAGTGGCGCTGTGGCTCAGGTCGCCTTGAGCTGAAGAGCTGAGGGACAGCGCCCAGGCCCAGTGTTCAGGCCCTAGGACTGACAAAAAAAAAATTGTTCTCCCACCAGTCAGAGGAAGGCCGTCTGAAGCCCATGGCAGTTAATGGCTAGCCAAGGGCTTTTCATGCACCTCCTGGGACTGGCTTGAACAGCCTGAGAAGACAGCAGTGTACCTGCTTGCACAAACAGATCCAACGCTGGGTCCACCTTAGATTCAGTATCTTTACCTCTTTGGTTGTTTTAATTTAATTTTTTTCCTGAACTTGCAAAGGTTGCCTGGGGTTTACAATGCAACGAGTCCGTCTAATAATTCCCACCTCCACAGCCTCGTTCTACGATTACATTAGAGACTGCTTTCTCTTGATGTCCCCTCAGAAATGTGTGAATATTTCTCCTCGCTGATGTTGGGGACTGGACTAGCGCAATGAAAGGAACAGAGAGGGACAGGGGGTACACAGCCTGGGGCCCGCACACAGGAATCACAGCTTTCATGAGGAGATGGACAGACACATCCATCCGGCTGCAGGTTGTGGTCAGTGGTTTAACCTTCATCCTGATTTCCTGCATGTGCAAGTGGCAGACAAAACACACATGAAGGCACAAGCAGCTCTCTACCCCTCCAGAGCTGTTCCTGTTTTTACAAAGACTTCGACATCGGCCCCTCTCCACATGGATCTGCCGCCCTAGTGAGGCTGTGGGGCTTGTGCTCATTAGTGCCCTGGCTGCACGCAAACCAGGGCTGAGCCATGCTTGCAAGAACGAGTTGGAGGCTGGGATAGAGGCTTGGCTCTCTCGTTCCCATTCAGCCTCCATGCCCTGGTAAGACTATATTATTTTCTTAGCTCAAATTGCTATTTCCAAGTCATTATTTCTCTATGACGAGAAAACAATATTAGGTCTTATGTAATATCAACCTCAATGAATCTGGAAGTGATCAGGGAATGGGTGGATTTTTTTCCTCCTTAAAAAAGAGAGAAGGAGAGAGAAAAATAAATTTGGATTGTTTGCATATGGCTGAGAATATTTATGAACTATTCCCCTTGTTTCCTCCTCACATAATTTACCCGGTGCGTTTGCGTGTGGTATGGAATAAATCTTTATGGGGAGCCGAGGCGCAGAGGGGGAAGAAAGCAGTTAGAAGTCTGGGTATTCACCAAGTGTGGGGACTTGGGGGTCCTGTGTCTCTGGGTGCTGCCAGCCCGGGTTCAGGTGTTGTAGTTTGAAGTGACCCCCATGCAGCCCCTCTGGGGGAGTCTTTGGGAGGGAGGCTTTCTGAGGCGAGCGCTGAAGGAACGTGCATCTTCTTTTCCCTCTGACGTCCTTAGAACAGAAGGTTTGATAGGAACAGTTGCACAACCTCTGTGAACGCCCCCAAGCCTACAGAGATCATTCAGTTGTGCAGATTCTAGACAGAGCCAGGCAGGCCCGCCAAGGGAGTGGGAGAGGAAGAGCCGTAGCGTGTTACGGGAGCTCCTCTTGCTGCTTTAGAACACGTCTGTGTGTCCGCACACGGCCGTGCTGCGATGGTTTCCCTCTGTCTGCACACACCGATATGGCTTGACAGGTCCCGAGGGAGCCGTGGGGATAGGGCTGTAGTGTGTCTGGAACAAAGGAGGGAAACAGCTCCGGGCCGTTGACTTTCCCCTCCAGGGTCTTGGCTTTGAAGTTGGGTCTATTCTGAATCTTCTTCTGTTGAGCCTTGGACTTTTCAGGACTATAGTGTCCCAGGGTAAGGGGCAATGCCCAGCTCGGAGGCTGACTGGCACAGTTGCTCACACAAGGGCGCTGCAGCCCCTGACGCCGCCCCTGGCATTGCCAGGCCTTGGTTGCAGACACTTCCTCTCCACTGCCTCAGTGAGCCCCACACAGACCCCGTGTGAGCTGGGGACGTTCAGCTTCGTTACTGACAGACAAACGAAGCTCAGTCGTATTGAAGACCTGGTCTCAAGTCCAGTTGAGGTTCCAGGACCAGAGACTGAGGCAGGGCTGAGGTCTGAAGCCAAGGCAGTGAGTAGCTTAAAGCTAAAGCTCCTGCAGCATCCTAGTGAGTTTACCTCACAAAAAGCCCAACTCAGAACTGAGGTCAGGGCCGGGCCCCATGGCCCCATCCCTGCTACCCCACCTCCGCCCTCTCCATCCTGAAGATCACCAGCTCCGACCTTCGCATTCCTGAGCACGAGTCACAGGAGGCACATGATGGAGCTGACATCACTGGACCGGCTCAGAGAGTGGGCGTCACATGCCGGGCTGCAGGGGGGGCAGGACAACTTTGACAGCTGCCGCTGCCAAACCAGCTGCTCCATCTCGAGGGACTGTGAGAAAGAGGCCGAGATGGACCCAGGACCAGCTTTCCAGTCCTGGTTCCAGGTCATTCCAGGACCAGAGACTTTGATGTGTATGTCCTTGTGCGGTGGCCTGCTGAGCTCACCAAAGGGTCGTTGGAATGAGGGCTCGCCGTGGCCAGCGTCTTTTCCCTTCAAAGATGTCCTCCTAGCGCTTGGACTGGCCCCATGTTGACAGCAACTCCATTTGTCCCTGTGCATTTCCCATTATCATCAGGATTCTTCCTCGGTCTCCATCACTGAAAGTGGTAAAGGGATTGGAGTATGCAGAGGGGCCTACTCCACATTGTAAGTGCTTAGGGAAGAAAGGCGTGATGAGTCTTGTCTGGTACCCACCCTCTGCCGGTTACCCTTGAATGGTCTGATAATCCCAGCACAGTCTAGACAATGGCTAAGGGGGTGTACACGCTTTTCCCCAGCCCTTCTCACTCTATTCTCCTAAATTGGAAACACAAAGCAGATGATGAAGCTCAAGTTCAAATGCCACACCAGGAGAAGGAAGTGTTGAGAAATACACCCCAACTTCAGCCAGTTTTCAAACATTCCAGTAAGCATTTCACTGATGTATCTGGGGTGAGTGTCATTCCATTGTCTTGAACAACTCCGAAAAAAAAAGGCCTTCTGTGAGAAGACAAAAGTTCTTTGAGGAGGGCCTAAGAGAAGGCACATCTGGGAAATGGTGAACAAGAAGACAAAACCGCTCATCTGCTTTGCCCAAGGCAGCGCCTCCTTATTTCTACTGCCACGAACCTCTCCCAGCTCCCATGAGCTCCACGGCCGGCTCTAAAACAAGAGTCTGGAGACTCAGCCCTGGGAATGGAGCAGTGCCCGTCCTCTCCTCCATGGCCATGTTCGGAGCTCAGGTGGACAGTCACTGGACAAGTCAGTGCTGTCTCACTGGGAGATGCTTGGGAGAAGGTCTCTGTGGGGCAGTGGCTTCCTCCAGGTAGTCTCTGGGTACCTCATTCATGAGGCCTGTGTCCAGATGAATTATTGCATGGGTAATTATTGGGACATGACTCCACAAGTCTCCTGCTATATCATTTTCCTTCAGGTGTTCCTTGTCTGGTCTGTGTCTTTGATGGCTTCCGTGCAACTGGAGTTGTCTGTGGCTAGGGGATCCTGCCGCCGGCTGGGGGCTGGGCCATTGGAACAGCTCTGGGGTGTGGACAGTTTGTCCTGTGTTCAAATGCAGTACGCCTCCATTGTGCCAGCTACATTCCCAAGGGAAGCACCAGGCAGCTGGGAGCCTGTCCCTAGGTCGTGCGTCTTGGAGGTTTTGTCCCCTACGATTTCCCAGTGGCGGGAGCCATAGTTAATGGTTCTAGATACAACCGCAAAAATCTGGTCGATAGCTCTATCCTAGGAAGCCTCTATGCTTTTTGGGTACTTACCCCTTCTTTCTGCAAAACGAGTCTGTACGTTTATTGTGGAATAGTAACAAAATATTGATAAGCCAAGTAAGTAAGTAGAAGTTGGCTAGTATTCTTGTAGCCTTCTGGAGATAAGAAAAACTTTGGAATGCATCCTAACTGGTGCATTTCTGTATTTACATACATGTGTAGAACAGAAAAGATGAGCCACGTGGCTATTACTTGGCTAGCGCTTCCCTGTTCTTGCCATTGAATGCACCGTACCACATCTCAGTCACAGCTGTCCTGTGGTGTGTGGCGGGCTGGCCAAGTGATGGAGGTCCAGACTCGGGGTGAGCTAGAGTACTCTGAAGATGGATCCCTGACAAGACAATGGACTTAGACCCCCTTCTTTTGCTCTTCCAGCCCTAGAGAGAGGGCTGACCAAGGCCCTGAAGAAACTAGATGACTACCTAAATACGCCTCTGCCCGAGGAGATCGATGCCAGCACGTGTGGGGATGAAGACAAGGGGTCCCGGCGCAAGTTCCTGGATGGAGATGAGCTGACACTGGCTGACTGCAACCTCCTGCCCAAGCTCCATGTGGTCAAGGTAGGGGACCGCGGCCCAGGGCACTGCCCCGGCCCAGGGCCTCTGGGCTCTGAAGTCAGACCACTAAGGTCTAAGGTCAGCTCTGTGGCTTGCTGGGTGTAGAGTCTTTGTGAGCTTTATTTTCACTTGTGAGGTAGATGACATCTCTGGCTACTGGGAGAGTCAACACAAGGTAGTAGTGTAGAGGCTCAGCATGGAATCAGCAGGACCGCCATTGTGGTATGTGGTCCCGTCACTCCAGTGTGGACTGGTCTTCCTGGACTTGTCTCCGGCTGTATCCTCCCGTGGGCATAGATCCATCCCCACCTAGGTATCTTCTCACGTCTCCTCTGTGCACAGGCCCGAGCGGGGCAACAAATTGTCATCCTCCCCTGCCAGTTGGAAAGATGGAGGTCTCAAGGGAGAAAGGGGGGAGGGTCTCCCCTTGAACCATTATTAGGGCAGCTGCACCACGAGTCGTGGCTAGCATCTGAGAGTTCCATGGTTACAACTCTAACGCGGAAATTCCCAGGGCATCTTGAACAGTCTCTGTGCCCACACCGATCTGCTTTCCGCTGTGTTAGTGAAGACTTCTGCGCAGCCTCACAGCGCTCAGGCATCTTTCTAGGTGATGAGGAACCCTTTGCCTCAGCGCCCAATCTTACTGTGTTGTGAGGCTCCCGTGATCGCAGTATCCTGTCCTGGTTGGATTAAAAGTGTTGTTCCTTGGAGCATCACTGAACGACTCTGCTCTCCTTCATCTGTTTTATCTGCCATTTCCCACATCTTTTTCTAACTCTTTTTTTTTTCCCGGTCATGGGGCTTGAACTCTGGGCCTGGGTGCTGTCCCTCAGCTCTTCAGCTCAAGGATAGTGCTCTACCACTTTGAGCCACAGCTCCACTTCTCATTTTCTGGTGGTTTATTGGAGATAAGAGTCTCAGGGTCTTTCCTTCCTGGGCTGGTTTTGAACCTCGATCCTCAGATCTCAGCCTCCTGAGTACCTAGGATTACAGATGTAAGCCACTGGCCCATTTCTGACTTTTAACTGGGTCTTCTGGCCATACTTTCCCCTGCTTTTTACACGTGTCCACGTCTGGTCAGATCAGTCAGATGGAAAGCTCTTAGAGTACAGGGCCTTCTCCAAGCACAATCATGGGGCCCTGATTGCCTTTAATAAATATCCATCCACTGATCATTAGATCACCTCGAGTGTGTCTTTATGACACTCCGTGTTTCTGCCCTGCATGGAGAGGAAGCCAAGCCAGACCTTGAGCAGCAGGTGGTGATGCCTACTGTCTCCAGCTGAAGTCCTTGCACTGGACATGCGGGCCTCTCTCTAACACATCTCACACCAGCCTCTGCTGTACTCACCAGCTAGCTGGGCACACACCAGTGTTCCCCACACGAGGGTTAGCATAGGAAATACGGAAGGAACTGAGTGTGTATGGGGTGGCATGGTACAGCGCATTCCAAACCAGTGCTTCCTTGTAGGTCCAGCCAAGTTGCGTCACCTTGAAGTTATTAATTACTTCGTACTGCTCCCTCCCAAACATGTGATTTACTTTCTCCGTAACGTCACTGGGGTAGACGACTCTTCTGCAGCCTACCACTGGAGTGATAGAAAGGACAGTTCGGGCCTCCCAAGTTCTAGTTCTCTATCTGCCCCACGTGGCAGGGTGAGCAAGGGTCTGTATTTTGATTGTTTGGGGATTCGTTTTCTTCATGCAGAAGAAGTATGGATCCCCTTCCTTCACTCCTCCTCTTCCTTTCTTCCTCCTCTCTTATTCTAATGCATGGTGATGAGCCACTTAGGAACACTTTGCTGAAGAAGGCAGACTTGTGGCTCTCCCGGGCCTTCTATATCCTCTTCCCATTGCTTCAGCTCCTCCGAGCTCCAGATGACTAAGTTCATCTTCTGTCCTCAGAGGAAGTTCAGTGGTGCGTTTGCTTGGCAGAGTGGGAATCAGACCAGGAGATAACCCAATCAGGGACAGAGGCTGGGCCTCTCTCCTGTCTCCGTGGATTTCTGCTGATCCAGCTTATCAGATCCAGGGGCCTGGCAAACCTTCCCAGTGCAGGACGAGTGAAGGGAGAGCCAAGTCAGGCCTGCAGTTGGGCCTCCGATGCCAAAACTTAATCTGGGCGGTGGGAGTTAACTGTTTTCATATGAAACAGCAAATTCAGAACATGAGCATGGACGTTCCTACAGACGTGCGAGCTGCCCGTGTGCGCATCCTGACCCTGCTCCTTCCCGCCTGCTTCCTCTCAGGTCCTTCTCCAGCCGTGGATGCTGAGTAGTCCTGGCTCAGTGCCAGGTTTGAACTTCCACTGTCTGGCTCCCTTTTATAGCTCATCTCTGCAAGTCAAGTGAACCTGAGAACAAGGATCAGCTCAGCCACCAGGGCCCGGGGTGCCTGGGGGCCCAGTGGGAAAGGTGTCTCCAGGTATTTTCCAGCTGCAGCACACAATGGCCACGAGCAGCTCCTGAGACAAACAGGAAGAGAGGTACCCAGAGGAACTACACATACAGATTCACGGATAGGCTTTCAGCTATTTTCAAGTCATAGTCTTTAGATGGCTTCACTTAGCTTTAAGTCCTTTTCACGCTGGTCATTTCTAGCACGTTCCCTCGGTCAGACCACCATTCTTGCAAGGATCTGCGCATGTGTCAAGACCACTTTGTCCCAAAGGCACTGGGGCATCTTGCCGTGAGCAGAGGGGAGGTGATAGCAGGTGCTGGCTTCGTGTAGCTCATGACCTCATGAAATCAGCGCTTTTGCTTATTGGCCACCCGGAAACTGGACAGAACATGGCAGATGGTTTCTTTGGGGGCTACCGTATCCCAGTTATTTTAACTTAGAGAATTTAATGTGGGGAAGTATTCTATCGTGAAGAACCTGGAAAGCCTAATGTATGACCAGGCTTCACCTCCCCCTAGACAGGGAGAATGAAGAGATCAGTTGGGAAGTGTGAAGGCTCACTCATGCAGCCGCCCTGCTAGGGAGCGGCCCTGAGAGCAGAATCCTGGGCCTCTGGAGGTGGAAGGGCTGTATGGCTGTCTCTGGGACCCCAGATCAGAGGCGGGGCGGGGGGGGGGGGGGGGGGGGACCTGACCTCTGCGGGCGAGCTGCTGCTGTGTGTGTGCTGGGCCTTTCTGAGCAGGTTTTTAGCTGTGTGGGTGAAAGAGCAAGCTGGCTTCATAGCTGTGATGAGAAAGTATTGAAAACTCGAATGGGAGGGGCAGCCTTCACACACACACACACGTGTGCTCGCACACACATACGTGCACATGCACACACACGCACACACGCGCACACACCCACACCCACGTGCGTGCACATACACACACACACACACACACACACACAGCCTCGGGTCTTACAGGCTCTCTCTCTAGTCACTGCCACACAGGCCCACAGAGATGAGACAGGCACAGTTCAAACCCCATATCAACAGGAAGGAAACGGAAGGGTGAGTCGGAAGACAGGCGAAGGTTCTCTGGCATGCTCTGATTAGGAGAAAAGGCACTAATGTGCAGAAACACGGGAGCCATGCACAGAGCAGAGTGGAGCTGACACACCTCTTTCCCAGGGCAGTCAGAGGAATCACGTGACAGTTCTGGGAGATTCTAAATGATGATGGGGCAGACGAATTCGTTTGTAAAGCGATTTTCTCAGCCTGGGGCTGGTGTGTGTGTGTGTGTGTGTGTGTGTGTGTGTGTGTGTGTGTGATTCTGACATTGTCTTGTTACAAAGCCTGACTCTGAGATAGATAAGGGGATTTCAGAGATGGCAGACTCCCCTCCACCGCCCCTCACACAGACAAGGTCCAGGTTACATACAGATGAAGACCACGGTTGCCAGGCGAGGCCCTCTCTACCCTTGAAGGGGAGAAATGACACCGTGTGATAAGGCCTTTGAGCCCAAGTCAGCTTCTCCAGCCTCCAGCAGGTCAAACCACCACAGAGTCTCCTCTTCTCTGCTTCCCAGCGGTCCTGAGCGGGCCGGTTCCTTTACCATTTACACAGGGCAACAAAGCACGGTGGAAGGAGCTGAGGCCTGGAACGTAGGGGCTGTGATCAATAGTCACGATGATTCAGTAGGCAGGGGTTTAGGGAGTGCTCACTCAACGTGGTATATATATAAATCCCTTCCTCTCTCTTGGCTTCAAGTGGTCCACTGCTAAAGAGCTTCCGCCCTTAAAGTGAAATGATTTGAGCTGAGGATGTGGTTCACTGGAAAAGTGCTTGTCTAGCATGCATGCATGACACCCTGGACCCATTTCCTTCTAACACACACACGCACACACACAGACACACACACACACACAGACACACACACACACACACACACACACAAGTGACTTTTATTCCTTATGACACTAGAGCCTTGTGTGATATTGAGATAACCGAAGACAGTAAAGATTAAATCCAAGTCTTTACTGAATCCTTACTTAGGGATATGTAAAATGGGAATATGAAAGACCCTTGGCTTTGAGTGTTGAAGGTCTAAGTCGCTTGCGGTGTGTGAAAAGCACTATTTGAAGCAATAGCTGAACAGCACGCAGTGTGAACCAGTATTTGCTGTGGTTGTTTCCCTACTCAATCAATGTCATGATGATCATCTTTAGAGGGGTCCCAGCATGACAGGGCTGGACAAAGAGCGGGCACAGACACGTAGTACTCGTGACTGAGAATAGAAGGTTGCGCAGGTACCTGGAAAGGGGAAACGCATCCTAAGGATGCAGGAGAAGACGCTGTTCACGCAAGAGGACTTTATTTTCCTCCTGGGTGCGGCTTCCTAAGGATGCTACTCAGCACCAGTGCTGGGGCAAACTTAAAATTTTTAAAAAGGCAAAAGTCTAGAACAGGGGATCAGTGGCTCTGTGGGCAGGGCGGGTCAGGTCGTCTCTCCAAAAGAGAAGGCCAGGGAGTCAGAAGCCAGTGCTGCTGTTAACATGCTGCTCTGGGCTGCTCACCTTGCATAACAAACACAGGGACCCTTGCTTTGACCCCCGCCCCCCCGTAAGCATTCTCACATGTTGTTATGACAGCATGAAACCCTGAGCCAGGTTTTCTGAGTGCACAGCCTGGTGAGGAGACTCACCACCATGGTGACGAGGTCAGGCGTCAAGTCGGTGGTACCGCGCAGGTCGTGCTGGAGTTGGTCCCACCGCCATCTGTGAAGGAGCTGGACACAAATGCGTAGAAGCTCGTGAATGGCCTGACTCAGTGTGTCATCGTGAGTTGTATGTGTTGAGCGCTTCCTGTGTGTTGCACAATTCCTCTGCGTATTTGATATGCATGAACTGACGCATTCCTCCACGGCAGGTTCCCGTATCACCTCCATTCCCAACGCAAATCAGTCCAAGCTCTGAGAAGTTACCCGGTGTGGTTACTTCTAGTCAGTTCACATTTCATGGAACATTCTACATGGACCAGTCCATCTCGAAAAGTGTCTCAGCATGTTAACTCGCCTTAGCATTTTTCCTCACATTATTTTTTAACCCCAACTACTCGTCCCAAGGAGTTTCATTTTGACATGTCTCTGTATGAAGACGACTCACATTCTCCATCCCTCTCCCTCACCCAGACCAGTCTCAACCAACTTCATTGTTCCACTTTCACATACGTACATGGAATACTTTCACCCTACCCTTCACCCTCTCCCGTTGGCAGAGAGGACCTGTATTTTACAACTCATTCTTTTTTTCTTCCTCCTCTCCTTTTTTCTTTTTTAGTGCAACAGCAGCAGCATTGTTCATCACTCTCTGATTTCTTATTCTTGTATATTAGTATTGTATTATTATATTGTATTCTTGTATATTAATGACTCATGAGTTGTACATTCATAGTGGGTACCACTTTTTGCTATTCTAAACACTCCAACCATCCTCATTATGCAGCTAAATTTTAGTGGATATCTATGATTATTTCCCAAGGAAAGAAAAAAATCCTAGCAATGGACCACTAGGTCAAGGAGCAAATCCTATCTAATTAAGAGATAGATGGTAACATCCAATGGAAAGACTGTAGCCTCTCTGCAAGGCAAGCATTCTGCTTTGCTGGCCAGCCGGTGGCCATGCATTCAGGGGTCCCTGCTGTGCCTGAGCCAGCCCCCCATGAGCCAGGCCCCCAGCACTCCCCGATGACTTCTTTCCTGCCTTCACCCCATCTCTATCCTGTCATCTCTGTTTAGATCGTGGCCAAGAAATACCGCAACTATGACCTTCCGGCTGAGATGACAGGCCTGTGGCGGTACCTCAAGAATGCCTATGCCCGGGACGAGTTCACCAATACCTGTGCGGCGGACAGCGAGATCGAGCTGGCCTATGCGGACGTGGCCAAGCGCCTCAGCCGCTCCTGAGCTCCGCCATCTTGTCCACCCACACTGCAGAAAATGCTCCGGGTCTCCCAAAGACCTTCGACTTTACAAATTCCTCTTCCTCATCACCTCTGGAAACTTGTGCTTTGATTTCGAATCAGGCCACGTCTCGCTGGTATCACCAGAACTCCAGCCTGCCACCTTTTTTTAAGGAAGGCCAGCACCACTTCAAGAATTTGGCCAACAAAGAGGATAAAACAAGTCAGCCTCTCCCCTGCCAGCCTGACCTGGGGTCTGTGTATTTGGGGTCAGCTACAGAGCACAAGCGTGGGACTGTCACTGACCCCTGGTTCTGCCAACACCAAACTATCTTCTCATCCTTTATGGACATGAAATATTGCCCTTCTCTTTCAGTAACTGTAAGGCCAACGAAACATGTCTCTTTAGTTCTCATTAGAGAGAGATCCCTACCTTCTCAGGAGCAGCAGTGACTGGGACAGGACCCAGCTGAGGTTGGCTTTGGGTAACTTATCAAACCTGCAACCCCATCGTTCTGTCCCTCCCAACTTCCGACACTCCTGCCCTATGGCACCAAAAGCCAGATGACAAAGTCACTTCAGACGATCTTAGTTTGATGCAGTGCTGGAAATGGTGCAATGTGGTTTGTGCAACTGGCTCCGGTTTTCAGGTAGTCCTTGGTCTTGTTTGCCAGGGAGGAAACTGGCAGGTAATCCCAACCTGGGGGAGTGAGATGGAGATGGTTGAGGAGCGATGTTGATGCCAAAAAGGCCCATGGGGTCTGCAGCCACAGGGTGTGCAAATCTGAGTAGGAGTTGTTGCTCACTGGAGACCAAGTATTGGGGTGTGATTGTGCCTGTTAGTGAGCAGCTTCTGGTGGATGAGGAAGAGGGAGGAGTGAACACAGAGGGTGGAGGAAGAGGGCTGGGTAAAGACAAAGCAGCTCTTTTATGAGCTTGATATTCCCGCGTAAACTGTGAGACTGTGCTTTCCACGCATGATCTAAATCTTGCACTGACGATATAACTACCAATCTTACAGCAAAAACCCCCAACCATTGGCCAAAAAAAATTGTCTTCCCTGTCTTTGAAGAGGTTTCTCCTTGATGCAGGTCGCGGGCTGGGGGCTCTCACAAAGCTGTTTGTGGTGCACAGATATGTTTAGAAGCTTAGAAGGTTGGCATGATCTTGGAGCACCTTAAGAAGAAAGTGCATAAACCTTTCTGTCAGGGAAACCAGGTGGCTTGAACGGGAAGAACACTGTAGACTTCCAGCAGACACAACTGCTACGGATGAATTTTTTTTAAGGCAATCATTCTTGTTTTTTAGTTAACATTTCTCTTCTTAGTCATTCTCCTTGAGTTCCAACACCTTCCGAGGAGCTCACCCGTCCTGAGCGTGGGGACCTGTGCAGAGGAAACTCAGAGAAAATAAACTAATCATCCACCCGCCCTGCCAGTGAGCGCTCCGCAAGAAATCCATCTGCTGGGCCCGCCTCACCCCAACAATCCTGCCCTCCGTGCCTTGGGGGCGGGGCTCCCTGGGCCCGGCTCTCGTTACTCCCAGAGGCCAGGACAGTATGGGTCCTTTCCGTAGATACATCCACACATGCGAACCCCAGCAATCGCTGCTCCCCCCTGCCACCAGGGATCTCTAAAGGAGAAAACTAAGTGACCCCGGCTCAAAGCCAAGAGAGGAAGCAGGAGGAAGGCAAGGCTGCTCACTGGGACATTATCTAAACCTGAGAGAGCTAGAGGCAATCAGTGGCTTCCATCCCAGCCCTCAGGGAACCTGGCAGGTCTCTCTGCAGCTGCCCCCTGAGCATGTTAGCACATAGAACTGGTAAGGAAAGAGCCTTCTGGAGGGGAAAATAAAAGTGTCGGTAAATGATCTAATCTGGCCTCCACGAAGTGGCGTTAGCACGCGCCCGTGTTGTTCTCAGAAGCCCTCCCCTGGCTTTCACAGATCACTCAAGGTGACCGTCAGGCAGCTCACCGTCTTCTGGTCCCCAAGCAAACTCTTGTCACAACCCATCGGGCAGCACCCCACACAGAGGTGACCCTGGGAGAAGCTGTCCACAGAGGAAGTGGCGGAATACTAAGGGTTCTGATGCGTGCAGAGTCTTTAGTATCCATCAACTGGACAGTCCTTAAAAAGCAAACAGGCCAAACCAAGTGAATATGGTCTCTAGCTGTCCCTCCTATCCATTTATTTGGCATAAATAACTATAATAATAAATAACTATATAGTAAATAACTGTGAGGGTATGGTATGCCCAGTTATTAACCACTTTAATAGGAGCATGAGTGGTAGGAAGAAGGCTCTTTGGGGTACTTAATCTCAGCAGTGCATTGGTAGATAATGCAAAGTGACCATTGACCTAGAGGTGTGATATCTTGTATTTATCCTAGTATAACAAATAGCCATCATATTAATAATGTTGCCTTTTCTTTTTCAAAAGAGATTTGTCTCCAGACCCCCTAGCTTCTCTGGCCATTGTTGCTGGCCCAGACTACCATCTTTTTCAGCCACCCTAGTGTTGGTACCCCACAAGATGACTCAGGGAGACTGGGGGGTTTGTAGTTTGGACCCTAGTCCTCCTAATTGATCCCGAATATTGGTCCCTTAGAACACATTCAGTGGGACAAACATCAGAGTTACTTAGCCTGAGAATCTTTTATTTTGTATTCCATTCTCTCCTTTGGTTTTTACATCACCTTTTCTTTTGGTGGTTAGTTAGTGGAAAGCAGAGGCATAAAGCTAGTCATACTCAGAATTACTGAGTTAAACTTACCCACTTATCCAGGACTGCCTACTTCTTCATTTGGCCCAGAGAGAAGGTATTGGATGTGATTTTAATGAATATATTTTATTAACTATGTTACCAAAATCTATGTTGATCCAGAGCATAGTTCGTAGCTGCTCAGGGCATAGAGGGAAGAAGATCACAGTGTGAGGCCAGCCTGGAGTAAAGTGAGCAAGACTTCATTTGAAACACAGGCCAGATGCGGGTGGTATATACCTTTAACTCTAGCTACTCAGGAGGGAGAGGTAAGAGAATTGTGGTCCGAAGCCTGGGTCAAAAGCACAAGGTGAGTATAGCTGAAGCTCACCTAGCGAGCTCAAGGTCTGAAGGCCCTAAATTCAATCCCTAAAACGGTCAGAAACAAACAAGCAAACAGCTCACCATCCCTGTGAAACTCTGGCCTGGAGGTAGCACGTGTCTGGCAGGTGCTTCTGCAGTTCACCCCCTCTGGCCAGGGACAAAGTCAAGCAGCAAATTCAGGTGCTGCCAACTGTCCGGGGAAAGAGACTATATTAACTTGTGGTTACACCGAGTTCAGTGATTCTCAAGGGACCTTGATTATTATTATTATTTAGTGATATTAAGAAGAGTCTTACAAAAGCATTGGAAAAAGAAGGGGAGTACCGACTTCTGATGCTCTGACATCGAAACTTGTGTGGCTCACCCTTGGCCTTGGAGCCCTTCTGCACAAAGGCTGAATGGATTGCTTTTTATCTTGCAGTCAAACAGCATAACCTTCCCCTCCCAATGTCTGCCTTTCTTCCTTTGTCTGTATTCCCACTTCCCAACCCCAGTTTTCAGGATATTTGCATCTCATTCTTAGGGCTGATCCAAATCCTCTATACATTTTCAATGTTATTTGAGGAAATTTCAAAATAGTCCCCACTACAGAGGACAATTAAAGATCTTCTCAGCATAAGGTTTGAATTAATCTGTGTTTCTATAAAAGCAATCTGATTTTTTTAATGAAATAGTTTTAAGGCTCCACAGGCTGAGGTATTTTTGTACATAATTCAAGGTTTCACAATATTGATTACGGATATATTTAAAGTATACAATATCAAGATGATGTTTGGAATTGTTTTATTATCCTGGTTACTTGGGTGTCCCATTTTATAAGATAAGGATTTAACTAATTTAGCAAACAATGCCTTGCTTTTTTAAAAGAACAAGCATTTTACTATCTGAAGTCACTCAGAATGATGATTTCTTGGTTTTCTTGAGACCTGTAACTGTGCTAATAAAATAACAGGCCTTGCTTTCAAGCCTTAATAAATGTACAATGCCTTCTAATGATGCTATAGCAGAGTGTTTTCCTCATGACTCTGACCCAGTTATGAATTTGTTTCCCAGGCTTGATTGGTATTGACTGATTCAAATAAAGTTGGTTTATTTTCAAATATTACAAAAGTGATCATTATTAGATGTATTGGTTAAGGTGGAGATTTCCCATGATGTTTGTGAATGCCAAGTGTGAGATCTCTCTTTGTTCTAAATAAAGGTTATTTTATTTTCCCATCATAAAAGAAAAGGCACGCGTTCTGAAAAAGCAAAACTCAGGAGGGGCTGAGAAGATGGCCCATTGGGAGAACACTTACCTAGCGTACATTGCATTCAAAGTTCCATCTTCAGCCCTGGAAACAAAAAAGAAAAGAAAGAGGGAAGGAAAAGAAAAATGAAACGAGGAAGGAGAAAGAAAAAAAAAGAAAAGCAAAAGATCTTGCGGGTAGCCATCTAAATATAATTTTTATTAAGCAAAGCCAAAAATGCTTTCACGGTACACAGGTTGGGTAACAGTTACATTGATGTCTCTTCTGGCTTTGTGTTTCCTATCTGCATTGTCATACCTAGAGGTAGACTACCACACGCAATTTAGAATATAGATCTGCCTGTGCCTGAAGCTTCACCCATGTTGTCAGGGGCTTCATTCCTCAGCCTGGGGATCACAGCACTGACTCTTGCCTGAGGTTCCCAGAGGGCTCAGTTTTCACTGACATCAGCACAATAGCTTCCCAGGTTCTTCCCCGAGCATTCGCACTAGGAAATGGGTCAAGGTGGTGACCAGCGTGTGGCCCTCCATCCTGCCAGAAGAGTGTCTCTGAAAAGGATCACAGAGCTGACTCTGGGACGGTCTTGATGAGAGGGTCAGGCTGGCCTTCCATGCAGGAACTCCCAGGGGATGTGATGGACGGCCATCTTGCCATCCTCCCCCAGCATGCCCTGAAAGGAATACTCCTCCTGCTCCTGTTCCCTCTCTTACCCTCATGTGAATCAGGTGAGAGCGATCCCAGCCCGAATGGTGCAGGCTCTGAACCTGTCCTGCAGGCTTGGGATTAGGGTGGGCCCCTCCAGATCAAGTTCTACCCAGCACTGAAAGGAGAGTCTTGCTGAGGGACTCTGGGAAGATGTCCTGGCTCTTAAGAAAGAGACTCCTTAAATGGCTCTGTGTTGTTGCCTCTAGATGTAGCTTGAGGCCTGGGTTTGCCCCTGCCTTGATGGAGTAGCTACAGGGCAATGGTAGTACCAAAGAAAGGCCCAGGTTCTTGAAAGACCATGGAGTCACCAATCAGTAAAATCAACTCAGGATCTGGTTCTAACTTTGGACTTTATCTTCTATGGTTCGCCCCAGAAGGTTTGAGGGTGTTTCCTGGTTGCTTGTTTGTCTTCACCACTGGCAAAGGGTATCCTATGTGTGACAGAAGCCAACTTTGGTGGTGTCACGAGCCAGTGGGATCAGCCCCTGCCCCACTGTTGGAAGGTAGAGCTCTGTTCCACACAGTCATTTGGAAATATGCCAGGACACGGGAGATTTCATGGCTCTGGAGCTTGTTTTCCTTTACCTCTCTGTGAAGAAGCTAAGGGGCCTGGAAGGGTAATGATTGTACCCAGCATGGACCAGGGCAGAGTCCCATTCCACAGGACTGGGGAAGGACAGCATCTCATTCTACTCAAAGGTGCTGTAAGCTGCATCTCTTATTTTTGTCTAGCAGCCAGGATTTCCAGGGTCCTTTTGCAAGTTTGACCTTGGGGAAAAGCCAGAGCTACAGGACTGAAAACAAGGACAAAGACCTAAACTAGATGTCAGTGAATGACTCTGTGATCTCAACATCCAAGCTCAAGGCAACTTTCAATCTTTGCACGACCTCTCTGTGGCCCTGGTTAGTAAAAAGAAGGGGAAAGAAAAGCCAGTCACCGGGAAAACAGAATGAAACATGGACACCAGTAGTTTATCTCTGTGGGAACTGTTTTCTTTTGAAGTAAATTTCAGGCTACAATGTGGAGGCAATTCACATAATATTTGTCTCATACCTACATGCAATGAGATCCGCCGAAATGCGCGATGATCCTGAGGTCTTGGAGCTCACCAGATGTATAGAAAGTAGAATAGACTCAAAATTTGAAAAAAAATTAAAGAGCATAAATAGGAAAACATTTCAGTTTAATCTTCCTTGAACTA